TGTGCAGCTCACACACTATACTTTTCCGCTCACACTGAAAAAAAATTAGAGGGAACATTGGTTAGCAAGGTTCTTGAAACATCATTTAAGGGTGCTGCCTGCAAGTGATACAGATGGTAAAGCGACTGCTCAAGAGTTCTGTCCTTTAAGAGAGGGATTGAACCCAAGCAAGGAAGAGAGAACAGTTTTTGTAGAGTAAGAAAAATGTTCCTACCTGAGGTCCCTGGCTGACAGTGGCAGAGGTACTGATTTACTAGGTCAAGACATTTGCCTCCGTGCTGACAGGGATTACTGTGGCACTCATTGATCTGGTTCTCACAGCGATACCCAGTGTAACCAGCCACACACATACAGGTGAAGCTGGCAATGCCATCTACACAAGTGCCATGGTGGCAAGGATCTGGGGAACAGTCATCTATGTTTTTTTCACACAAAACCCCTTCAAAACCTATAAGAAAAACAGAAGACAGCATTATAGGGATTACAGTAACTTCCTGGGGGATGTCTATGGCGATTCTAAAGCCATACTGGTCATGGTTGTCCCGAAGATGCCTTTTTTCCCTTTTTCAAGAGACAACTGGACTTTCTGGTTTTTCTTTGAAAATGTTTTGCTTCTCATCCAAGAAGCTTCTTCAGTTCCTGGGGAAGTTCTCCTAACTTTAATTTTAGGAAGTGAAAAGTCAAATTGATCAAAAAGAGACCAATGTCTCATCTTCCAGTTATCTTAATGGAACTAAGGTATGTGTAAACTGAAATTTAGACACTGAACAAAAGATGGCCAATTCCAATCACAGCAAAGCGTAATAAAAGTCTGTCCCCAATTACAACAGTTAAGTAGGAGGAATTAGATGCCATCTGCCATTATAGGGAAACACTACTATATCCCTGGAAAAAAAATACTATGTACACTTTTAGTTTGAAAAAACATTTTATCATTCTTTTTCCACTGATTCAAGAACTAATACCAAAGATAGAAATAAACTGTCCCTGAATCAAGTGTTAGTGACTATTACTTCAAATTCTTCTTTTACAAAAAAACCCTTTTAGATGAAGAGATATATTATGAGGAAAAGAACTCATATCATACATACAATATATAGAAAACAGCATGGCAGCATTTATTTCTCCCTGTGTTAGTATCCCATAAACCCTTGCATTTATTGTGAAATCTCATCAACTTCTGTAGTAAGCAATCACCTTCTGTACAACGGCATTCATAAGCATTGGGCCTATCCACGCACTTGGCACCATTCTGGCATGGTGTGCTGGCACACTCATCAATGTCTATTTGGCACATAGAACCCGAGAAGCCTGAATGTGGAAGGAAAATATGTCAAGCGAATCAGAAAAATCAATGAAAAGGTAATTAAACCATAGGTCCTACTTCATCAGATAGTACATCCCAACGATAACTCACAAAAATAGTGCTTCCTGTTTGCTATTCACGCTGATAGAAATTTTATATATCTGTATCATATTTTACAAGTTTGTTGAGTGCAAAGATGAGAGAGTTTGATTTTGTTCCTTATGCTATTGACTTTTGATTTTGGTTTTAATCTTATTTTTGTAAACCATCTATAGAGTTTTGGGAGCCAGGAAATTTAGAAATATAGTAAAGGACTGGATTTAATAGGCTTCAGTGTGAAAGACCTCATATTCAATGAACTAATGTTCCCCATCAGTTAATATTATTTGTTGTCTCCATGCAAATTTCCTAAATTGTCACAGATAACAACATTTACTTCATAAAGCATTGCAACACCATGCATATGTGCAATACTTCTGGGCTTAAATTCAATATGACCTTGGGAAGAATGGAAGTACTACCTGAATGGCTACTTCTGATACTTTTTTTCAGCTACCTTTTTCTGTAAGGAAAATCCTATATAAGCAGCCCATTGGCATTAGGAGAAATAAATAGCATTACAAGCATGGTTCAGGATCAGTATGCCAATTCTAAGAGAGTTTCCAAATGGCTGAAACTAGATCAACCCAGTATAAGCTGACAATTTGAACAACAACCCCCCCCCCCAAAAAAAAAGACAGGCAATAATAGAAAAGGTTTGGCACTGTAAAATACAGCTTAGTCACACAACTCAGCCTTACCACCAGAGGCCTATAACAAGAGCTCTTAATGTCTCTCTCCCTTCTCTCCACAGGGGGCTTTGCAGTGTCTACCCCACATGTAAATTGGGTTCAGGGGCCTGAGCGACAGGCTAGGGAAACAAAGATGCCATTGTCCAAGCTCCCACAGAGCATGCTAGAGGCCTGTCTGCCAATCTACCCTAAAAACAACTAAATGGGGCATAGTACCTCCACCCGGTTACACAGCAGAAAGGCTGGGCAAGTCCTGGGGAAGAAGCTAATGATACTGCCATAAAATTACAGTGGTAGCCCAGACACTGACCAAAAATCTTCAGATAGGCTGTTTCGCTTAGCACTAGATACCTAGGCAGTCTAAACAATGAGGCAGTAGGCAAGAAATGTCACAGGGGGCAGTACAGATTCAAGAGAAATTGCAGCACAAGTCTAAAAACAAAGCAGCGCATATTGTTAGGTTGACTCAAGGAACAGGCATTCTCAAAATATTACAAGGAGAAAAACTAAACTTCTTACAAAAAGGGATTGCAGTTTCCCAATCTTCGAAACGTCAGGGCTTGGCAAACTTCAAATACACTCAAAGCACATACATGTGGTGTCAAGTAAGAAGAAGCCAAGTGGGAGGAAAAAAATGGTTTCTAGATACAGAATCTGTAATGTTATGCAGAAAAAAACAATCCACTTTCATTTCTTTCCCAGTTGAGAAATTGAGGTAAGGCTCCTGATTGGCAAACTTCTCTACTTACCTGAGGGGCAGGTGCAACTGAATCCATTGACCATATCCTTGCAGACACCCCCATTGACACAGGGATTGCTTTCACACTCGTTGATATTTATCTCACAGTAAGTACCACTGAAACCTGCAATCACAAAGAATAATTTCTATTGTAAACTCTAACCTCATCCTCTTTTCACCCTGTCTCCCTATATATCTGTAACATGTACTCAGCATATATCCCACTGAAATAATGGGACAAAGCCCATGTCATCAGGAACACAAATTGACAAAGATACACCAAAGGAAATGGCATTTTATTTGTAAAATTGGGCAATCATAAAATCTAGGGTTTTTTTGAACTGTTTGAATCCTCACTTAACAACCGGTTGCTTAAGGACTGTTTTCAACTTATGATGGACCCCTCCAAAAGGTACAGGTAGTCCTCAACTTACAACCACAATTGAGCCCAACATTTATGTTGGTAAGTGAGAAATTTTTTAAGTGAATGTTGCCCCATTTTATGACTTTTCTTGCCACAGTTGTTAAGTTATTCACTGCAGTTGTTAAATTAGTACGGTTGTTAAGTGAACTTGGTTTCCCCGTTGACTTTGCTTGTCAGAAGGTCACAAAAGGTGATCACATGATCTTGAAACACAGCAAACTATCCTCAACGTGAATCAGTTGTCAAGCATCCAAATGTAAGTCACATCACCATGGGGATGCTGCAACAGTCGTAAGTGTGAAAAATGGGCATAACTCACTTTTTTCAGTGATGTAACTTCAAACGGTCACTAAGTGAACTGTTGTAAGTTGAGGACTACCTATACTTATGAGAGTTCTGATGGAAACACTCCCCTGCAGTTACACTTTGAACGCTTGGCAATCTGCTCGCCTTTATGGCTGGTTGTAGCAAAGCACCGCCACATGACAAAATTTAAAACTTTTTTACTGGAAACTGGCCTTTTCAGCCCCCCCCCCCCAAAAAAAAACCACACACATAGGAATGCATTGACCTATATTTGCTTAATAACCACCACAAAAGGGTTGTAAAATCAGGCCTTGATTTATTATTCTTTTGACTTATGAAAATTCAGAGGTCCATATTGTTAATAAGTTAACGACTATCTGTACAAAGACAGCTTTAATAGTTATCAGAATTATTGTTTCACTGGTCAGAAACAATTTTCTTCTGAAAATTCCAACCTTGATTATTTCTCTCTAATCCCAATATTTCAGCACATCAGCACATTCCAACCTTATAGTCATAGTAGCCAACTGCATTAAGCACACCCTTACTATTTCAAATGATGAATTGAGCACATCTCTTATGTAACTACTACTACTACTACTAACTACTACTACTACTTATTATTATTATTGTACAATTGTATCACAGCGGCCAGTTGTTTCGCCGGATTTGGCATTGGTTACTAGTCGGGCCCCACCCAGGGGCCTAGGACGTCGTAACGTATTTTTATTATTATTATTATGTTAATCTTTGGTGAGATTCACAGTCTTTGGTGCTCAACAGCTTGAGTCCTAATCAAGGACCTAGGAACTGTTAAGGTAACATCGGAGGATATAAGCTGTTCCAAGTAGGGTGGTTTTTTGTAGAATCAGAATGTTCTAGTGGTAGTAGTAGTAGTAGTAGTAGTAGTAGTAGTAGTAGTAGTAG